TCTTTCCCTGGTAATAAGTGGTATATGTGTATTATAATACATTTGGGAAAGATAGGAACATGTGAAGAAAAAAGTCATGTATCTTTTCACTGCCTAGAGATAGCCACATCTAATATATTATATATTTTCTTTTTCTGTAAGAAAATATACACATAAAAATTTGAATCATATTGTACATGCAGTTTTTGAGCCTGTGAAATACACTGACTGAAGTCCTCTGGATTGTTGAATCGGTGTTGGCGTCATTGTCCATCCTTAGTATCCACTTGTCTTTCTAGTTCACATATCCAGTAGTCCCTTCTTCATAAAGAAAAGGTCTTATATCTGTTGCTTACATTTGCCTTAGTTGTTCAGTCCTCAGTTTACTGCTAGAACAAGCATGTTTTTAGGCTCTCATTTCTAATGTGGAGGGGAAAGAATGGTCACTTGATTAAAGAAGCAGGTCTTTGTGGTGCTGGTTGGTGAAGGGAGGAATCTTTTTAAGATCACATTCAGGTGGGTGGGGTTTTTTAGTTTTTTGGTTTTGCCTCAAATGGTCTCTTTATCCTGACTTCACTCTTTGGGTATGTAGGAGTTTGTGCCCCTTGTCATCTGGAAATAGAAGTTTGTTCTAGCACAGTATGTTTGATATGTTTAACAGTGTTTTAGTTAAGATACAAATGTGTTACTTTATTTCATTGTTTTGAAGGCATACTCTTTTTTCACATTTAACATCTCTGAAATTGGTATGCTTCTTTCGTTTGGTGACATTTTCCAGTTATAATGGCTCTTTCCTAGTGGTACATAACTAAGGTACTTCGGTGATGTCACAAATCAGTGAAATGTGCTGATTACTAATTCCCATTATCTGACATCCTGAGACATCCTTAAGCTTTATGTATCCCTCTTCCTCTGATAGTGAATTTTGATAATTGAATAAATATCTCAGTATATTTTTTTCGGTTCATGATTAGAGCAAACATTTACTATGTGCTGGGTATTATTCTGAGTGTGTGTGTGTGTGTGTGTGTGTGTGTGTGTGTAGTGAAGTCATTATACATATAGTCATTTACATGGTAAGATTTATTATATTCTGTAGTTGAGGAATAACGGAAAATATCAGGATATTTAATGTAAGATATCAGGTTATTTCACTTATTAAATGCTATTATTAGCCACTGCAACAAACATTTTAAAATATAATTTAATCCTCACAACCCATTTGATGAGAGATACGAAAAATTATCAATCTCATTTTACAAATGAGGAAGCTGAAAATCAGGTTAAATAACTTGCCCAGAATTATGACATAAATTGTAAGTGATAGAGCTGGGATTTGAATTCAAGTCTGCCTGACTTCAGTGCCCTTGCTTTTAATGACTATACCATTTCTAGCTTTAGAAACTGTAACTTGGATTTTTTTTTTTTTTTAACTTTTTGATGGAGGTGGGAGGGAGCAAATTGGGCTTTGGGGTCTATTTCTATCCTAGGAGACTATAAAATAGTCTGTATCATGTGCTCAAAGAGGATAAAATAATTGATTTTTATTTTTTTGCATATTAAGATGGTGATGGAATTTCCTGACAATGTGTTAAATCTCGATGGGCATCAAAATAATGGTGCACAACTAAAGCAGTTCATTCAGGTAATAGTTTTAAAAATTAATGTTTTAAGTGGTGTGTGTGTGTGCGTGTGCGCATGTGTGTGTATGTATGTATGTGTGTTTTAAAGAGTCATTTAAAATTTTACCTGTAAGTATTAATTTTGTTTTACTTAGGACTCTTTAGGTCTTAAGATTGCAGTGAGGTTGCTTTCTTTTGCTATTCCAGGTATATTTACATACCTGTGATGTGAAAGATTTGGTGGTGGTGTGTTATCATTTTACATGTCTGTAAGGCTTTAATTTCACCAGTTTAAATTTAATTTCCCTGTTTTTAGAAGGTAGGGCAGACAGCTTTTCATTGAGAACTTCGTTTTTTTCTGTAGTAATTGTTTTGTTCAGTAAAAAAAATTAATCTTATATAGTGAATTTTCTGATTTTTATTTAATTGTTTTTTAATTTAATTTAATTTTTTATTGAAGTATAGTTGATTTATAATGTGCTAATTTCTGCTGTACAGCACAGTGACTCAGTTATACACATATATATGTTCTTTATATTCTTTTACATTATGGTTTATCCCAGGAGATTGGATATAGTTCCCTGTGCTATACAGTAGGACCTTGTTGTTTATCCATTCTAAATGTAATAGTTCGCATCTACTAACCCAAAACTTCCAGTCTTATTTCATTATTAAACAGTGTGATACTTTGTAAATACACTATATATGATCAAGATAAAGGAAGATAAATGGTTACTTTATTTCAAAATTCTATTTCAACTTTTGGAGAAAACTTTGAATTAAAGGTTAATAGTAAATGTGAGAATATCCTTTTTGGGAGTTATCTTACTTTTTCATCTGTTTTTTTTTTTTTTTTTTTTGTAAACTGGAGGTATTACTTGTAGTATAACTATAACTCCATCTAAGTAGAAGTTATTTGTGAGTTTTGCCCATTTCTCTACAGCTATGGTTCTCAGTCATTTCTCTTCCTTGTCATACCAACAGATAACATTCATATGCACCAGCATTTTAGTTACTCACTGCAGGCTCCTACATAGGTAAGATAGGCCTTGTTCTCTCCCACTAATCCATGACACACCTGCCCATACCTCCAGGTTGAGAATTGCTGCTCTACATGATCACTATCCTGACTTGACTTGTGTAGCTAAACGTAGTGTGTTGCTAAAGGTTGAGAAAAAGACATGGTAAAGCTGCTTTGTGTCTTTATTCTTTTCTCTTTTCTTTCTTTCCTTTATGAAATTTTTTATTTTAAGTGAGAGTACTAAGCTTAATGCACATTTGACAGGCACTAAATTTCCACATGCAGGGCTTCTTTTTGCTATGCTGGGTCACATACTGCATAGCCCTGGCATCCTAAGTGGAGTTTTTTATACCCTAGATTCTAGAACAGGGGGATTTGTGGAGCAAACTCAGTACAGCATGGACAAGGCCAACTGCTTTGCCTTACTGACTCAGTTGCAGATAGAGATGGCAAGCCCTGCCCAGGCTGTACTCACTGCACAAGGATAGGAACCAGAAAGAGTGGTGAAAGAGTCATTTCATGTCTTTCTTACAAACTCTATTTTTCTTTCCCTCTTCTCTCAGCGACATAGTATGCTTAAGCAGCAAGATCTAAGTATTGCCATGGTGGTGACATCACGTGAAGTCTTGAGCGCACTTTCTCAGCTTGTCCCATGTGTTGGTTGTCGTCGAAGTGTGGAGCGCCTCTTTTCCCAGCTTGTAGAGTCTGGAAATCCTGCCCTTGAACCCCTGACAGTGGGGCCCAAGGGAGTCCTATCTGTAACTCGAAGCTGCATGACTGATGCAAAGAAGCTTTATACATTATTTTATGTACATGGGTGAGTATAATCAATTAGGAAACAATGAGTTTGTTAAAATTTTAAACTTGGTGACAGTGGCAGCTTTTTTTCTAAATTTGGTTGGGGCAAAGCTTGAGTCCAGATTCAACACTTTTATTGAGTAACTCCTATGTACCAGTGACTGTAAAGTTTCTTTTCTCATGTGGGGAGAGGCAGGCAGTAAACAAATACATAATTTGTCAAGGATGTTAAGTTACAAAGACAAACCAGTAAGGGAGATAGACAATGAGTGGGTAGAATTCATATGGAGAGTGGTCAGGGAAGGCCTCTCTGATAAAATGACATTGAATATAGACTTGAATGAAGTGAGTGAACCATGTAGATATCTGGGGGAAGGCAAAGAAGGAGCAGCAAGTGTAAAGGTTCAGAGGTTGGAGTTTTCCTGGAATGTTTGAAGAACAGCAAGGGAGCCATTGTGGCTGGAGCCAGATGAATGAAGGGAATGGTAATAAAAGATGAGGTCACAGGAGTACTAAAAGGCCTGATTATGGAGTTCCATCTTGAGGTCTTTTGGGTTTTTTTAACTCTGAGATGGGAAGATTTGGGAAAGTTTTGAGCAGAGGAATACATGTTCTCCCTTGAAGTTTTGCTTACTGTCACCTCTGTGTTGAGAATAAGTAGAAGGGTCATGGAACAGTGGAGAAACAGGCTTGTTTAATATAATCCATGCAAGAAATAATAGTGACCAGTATAGTCGCCATGGAGATAATGAGGAATGGTTGGATCCTGGATATATTTTGAGGAATGAGCCAACAGGATTTTTGGGTAGATTGGATATGGAGGAGGGCATCAAGGATGATTCCCAGATTTGGGGTCTAAAGAGCAGGACAGATGGTTTCCATTTCCTGAAGTGGGTAGGCCTGGAGGAGAGAGGAGCACTTTTGCAGAACTCACATTTGGATGTGTTAATTTGAGATAGCAGTTGGGCGTCCAGGTAGAGTTCAGAGAGTTCTGGCCTAGAGATATAAATTTGTGTCATCAACATATATATAGTATTTATATGTATATTTAAACCCATGAGATGAGATGTGATCACCAAAGGGTAAGTGTAAATAGGAAAAGAGAAGAGGTCTCCTCATCAAGGATAGTGTATATACTGTATCTTTTATTGTTTATAGTGTATCTTTTAGTGTATATAGTGTATCTTTTATTGTTTCCTTTTTTTTTTGGCTGCACTACGTGGCTTGTGGGATTTTATAATAGTTCCCCGACCAGGGATTGAACCCAGGCTGTCAGCAGTGAGAGCACAGAGTCCTAACCACTGGACTGCCAGGGAATTCCCAAGGATCATGTATGTTTAGATATCTAATGTTTGGACAAGGGAGTATGGCTGAGAGTCAGGTAGCAATCAGTCATAAAATATTTGAGTGCCAGGCACACTGCTAGATACAATGCAGATGCAGGGATGAATGAGACACATGTAGTCTAGGGGCAAGAGTATGTTGAATAGGGCAGGTCTTCAATGTTTCGATAGGCTGGGAATGGAAAGGGAATATAAATGTACTGACTCTTGCGTTAGAGTTTGATGAGAAATTTTCAAAGTAAGTGATGTGTCTAATACTTTAAATATACTTCTCACTAAAAGGCATAGAGATTTTGAAAATTCTAAAGAAAAGTTAATATTAATCAAACCTTTAATGGTTTATTTTTAATTAGGTCCAAACTAAATGACATGATAGATGCTATTCCAAAAAGTAAAAAGAACAAGAGATGTCAGTTGCACTCCTTAGATACGCACAAACCAAAACCTTTGGGGTAAGTAGAAATGATTATCAGGATGCTTTGTCAGTGTTAAGATTATAAATGTTAATCACATTTGGTAAAAAGAAAAGAAACATTGCTAGTTTTATTTCATTAATTGTTTACACTGTAACATAAAAACCATATAATTGGTCAAAATAAATGTCTCTTGGTTCTGTAGGCCTTTTTGCATTGGGACTACATAGGTTTGATTTTTTTTTTAAGTTTTTTTTTTTCCTTGTATTAAATATGTTTCAGAGAAAGGAGGTTGAGATCTTTGTGGAAATTTATGTAGCCAATATTAAATTTTTCGAAGTCGTGGTATCGTTTTTTTAATCTGTGTAATAGTCATAATGTATAAATTATTTTTCTTGTCTTCCTTGTCTCTAGGTCTCCCTAATAATTTATCAAGGATTTTAAAAAAATCTTGAATCAGTTATAGCAATGTGAATTTATGTAACTAACTTGCAGTTTTCTTCTTGGTTAGGAGCTACAGTGTCCAAGGCTGCTTCTGCCCCCATCTCCTAGCACAGTGTCACAGTTGCCCCTTCAAAATTGCTTGGGGTTGGGGGTGGTAAGGAGAAGCAGTGGAATTTGAAGGGAGTTTCTAAGAAGTAACTTTTGTCTGGGGAGAGAATGAGATGATATAAAACTATACTTCTGAATTAATTTTTTAAATTAGTTTATTTTGGATATCTCATTAGTAGTGTTGACACCATTGTTAAATTGACATTTTCCGCTCTGGTAAAAAGACCTAGATGACCAGGTGGTGGTATGTTAATAGTTAATAATCCTTTTTTTTTCTATACTCAGGAACAAAAAAGGTTTTAAACTTTTATTATGAAAACTGTCAAACACATAGAAAAGTAGAGAGACTATACAAGGACCCTCTTACCCCCAAATACCTTCACCCAGACTCAGTAGTTATCAAGATTTGCCACATTTATTTCATTTGTTCACCTTTTCCTTTGCTGAATTTTTTTTGTTTTGTTTTGTTTTGTTTTGTTTTGTTTTGTTTTTCTCGGTACGCGGGCCTCTCACTGCCGTGGCCTTTCCCGCTGCAGAGCACAGGCTCAGTGGCCATGGCTCACAGGCCCAGCTGCTCCGCGGCATGTGGGATCTTCCCAGACCGGGGCACAAACCCATGTCCCCTGCATCAGCAGGTGGACTCTCAACCACTGCGCCACCAGGCAAGCCCTGCTGAAGTATTTTAAAGCAAGTTCTAGGCATCATGTTATTTTACTACTACATATTTCCACGTTCATCTCTGAATACAGTGATATTTTCTTTCATGACAGTGCCATTGTAACACTTAACAAAACTTTTAACTATAATAATCTAATACCCAGTTCATATTCAGATTTCCCCAACTCTCTCTAAAAGTGTCTTCTTACACTGATTTGTTAGAATCAAGATCTAAACAAGAACCACACATTATATGATTTCTAAGTGTGAGAGCTCTGAACCCAGTAAAGCTCTACACAACCTAAAGTGCTTATCTAAGGATAATTATTTCATATACCTGATTTACCAATATCTTTAAAGAATTCCTGACTTTCTGAATGCAGAATCCATTCTAATTTTCTCATTAGACAAGTAACCTTTTCTGAATAACCTGTTGACTAAAGCCACAGAGTAGTATGATATAATACAAAGGCTGCCTTCTGTGTTTTTGTTATGAATATTCTTCACTGAGGAGCTGAAAAGCAACAGCTACCCCAACATCTTAAACATCTGTGCTCATTGCCACCTTCCTTCAAAGACCAGTCCTTCCACTTTTGCTCCAGATTCCACCTCTTCTCTTTTTTCCCTTACTTTGCTTCGTCAGTTATCTACTTTTATTAAATTGACATACAGCTATGTTTTCCTATATTTCAGCTTAAAAACAAAAAACAGTCCTCCACAGACTTCACATCCTGCTTCAGCTCTAGCCCCACCACATGGGAAGACAAATGTTTTGCAAGGTTGTTTGCTGAGTTATGTAGTCAGTGTGAGTGGAGTTAGTTAAGCAGCACCTCCTAAGGTAGCTTCAGTTATTCCCACAAGCCATGTAGACAGCAGGCCAGAGGGTTTAGTCTGCTTAGCCAAGACTTCTCCACTTTGGATGGTCACTGCCATTCTGTGCTACTATGACTTTTCTTTTTATATTTTCCCTGTGTTGTTTCCCCCTTTCTCTCTTTAGATTTTCTTCAGGGGAAAGTGTAATACAGTTAATTAGCTTTTAGCCTAATCAGTAGTAACAATCTAGTTCAGTCTTCTTGAGAGTATTCTCACATTCATGCGAGTAAACCCAAGTTATTGTCTGGCTGGGAGTAAGTGTGAGGTCTGAAAGAAAGGGCTAGGCCAGAGTTGTAGGCCTGTACCTGCTGAATGGTATACAGTTGACTCTTTTTTTAAAAAAATTAATTTGTGTATTTGGCTGCGTCGGGTCTTGGTTGCGGCGCGTGGGATCTTCATTCGGGCATGTGGGATCTTCGTTGCAGCACGCAGGCTTCAGAGCGCCTGGGCTCAGTAGTTGTGGTGCGCGGGCTTAGTTGCCTTGCAGCATGTGGGAATCTTAGTTCTCCGACCAGGGATCGAACTCGCATCCTCTGCATTGGAAAGCAGATTCTTAACCACTGGACCACCAGGGAAGCCCCTACAGTTGACTCGAACAGTGCAGGGGTTAGGAGCACCGACCCTCCATGCAGTGGAAAATTTGTGTAACTTCTAGTTGGCCCTTTGTATCCATGGTTCCTTCGTATCCTCAGATTCCACGAACTGCAAATTGTGTAGCACTGTGGTATTTATTACTGAAAAAAATCCGTGCATAAGTGGACCTGCGCAATTCAGCCTCACGTTATTCAACGGTGTAAGATCACCTAGAGGAAGAGTAGAGGAGTAGAAAAGAATGCTGAGGAATTCAGTTTAATGGTAGAAAGAATAAGCCTAAAGAAACTCGAGAAAGTATCGCCAGAGAGGTAGGAGGAAGCCAAGGGAAAAGAGTGTGGGGCGGCGGGGGGCGGGCGGTGTCTGGTAAGCTGTGTTGAAGGTTGCTGAGTTATCAAGGACCCAAAAGTGTCTGTTGGATATAGCAACACTGAGATAATTGGTGATCTCGATGAGCAGATCTGTGGTTGAATGGAAACAATCTAGATCAGCATGGGTAGAAAAGTGCATGCAATGCAAGGTTTTAATGGGTTAAACTGTGAGTGGAAGGTGTGGGAGTAGAACAAGGAAGTGAAAAGACTTCCTTTTTTAGAGAGCTTGATCTTGAAAGGAAGGAGTGATATAAAGACATTTGGTCTGGAGAGATTATGGATAAAATCTTGATTTGAGCTGTAGAATTTTTTTCAAGCTTTTTTTAGAATAATGCTTTCACATTCCAATGGTATAATAATCATTCCCCAGCTCTGATTTCATGAACCTTTTCCTCCATAATGAGAACTTGAGTTTGAGAGTTACTCAGTTTTAGATTATGAATCACTCAGGCATAGAAAATTGCAAATTTAGGAGATGAGAATAGAAGGATATAAGATGCAGGGCAGAGCAGGAGTTGAGGTTTTTGTTTCAAAAATAAGGAACATTGATCCTTGGCCTGAGCCCTTGTGAGATGGGAGTAGGGAGCTGAATTGTACGTATGACCTTATAGGGTGGGCAGGTGGTTGAGAAATACTTATTTAGCTATATAGAGTAGGTTAAGTAAAGATTCAGAAGTTTTTCCATCTCAAGCATCCCAGGTAATGAATTTCTAGGACTGTAGTGAGACCCTGCAGAAGAACAGGCAGGAGCCAGTTGTTCAGAATCATGAAAAATCAAGAAGACTATCATTGAATGGAATATAGAAACATATTTCTCTTGAAATGCACATCTGCAACAAAGCAAAATGCATGACCAGCGCCACATTGCAACCTGTGGGGGAGGGAGAGTCTGGGAAGTTTTTAGTAAGTTTTCAAAAAATTATTTGTATAGTACTTACTACTAATTTAGGCTGTGTAAAGTGTTCATCTTAGTATGCTATCTTTATTTTAGTAAATATAAAAATTTATTTACTATAATTAGATTAATCTGTGACTTTCCCAGTTACTTGTAAATGTGAAGGTAGATAAGAATTTTGTTGCCGTGGGCTAGCTATAAAATCACATTAAGTAGATCAACACTTGTTAGTATTTTCAATTTGTGGAAGATTGATCCATGTTTATAGGTGAAAATATTTTATTTTTTTTCAGCCCTTTTGACTTTAAAACATTCCAAGTAGATTTGCTCATAAAATGCTTAGTATGTTAACCAGTTACTATCTTGATGAGTGTAAATGTTGTTAAATTATATCAGGTAAACTTAATAGTTGAGCAGAAATTTTTGTATAAAGATATGAGCACCTGTCTAAGTAACATTTTAATATGGTTAAATATGTAATTATATACAAATTTGCAAACTTATCCTACTAATATCTTAATGTATTAAAGAGTTTATGATTTTAATTTAGACTATAGAAATTATTCCTTCAGATTATCTCAGTGTCACTAAGCTTTGTACTGTACTGTACTACAGTGAAGGGAGCAGTAGCAGTTTCAGTTCAGAGAAGTTAAGTACAGATAAGAGAAGTAGTGAAGACCACAGGAAGGACAGCAAGTGTAGGATCATTTTCCATTATGGACCTTTCCAGGGAACAGCCAGGTAAAATCAAGCAATCCTTTACTCACCTTTTTTAAATGTTTTACCCTTGTATATTCCTTCTTCTCACTAAGATTTGTTTCTTTCTACAGAGGTTGTTGGATGGACGTATGGGAGCTAATGTCCCAAGAATGCAGGGATGAAGTAGTTTTAATTGACTCTAGTTGTCTTTTAGAAACACTAGAAACGTATCTGCGAAAACACAGGTAAGTCCAAAGATCATCATGGTGTAGTTGGAAGGTGCCTTAGCTGTCAGTCTTCCAGACTGACCTGTCACTGACCTTCTTCACATAATAGTACTCCAGCCTTCCCGTTAATACCTGACATGAGGCGGAGTTTAATGTTAGGGTAGGCAGTTCCTTTATAGGATGACTCTCAGTGTTGGCCGACTTGTGTTAGGCCAACATTTCCATTTTTTGTAATTTCTACCTGTTGGTTCCAGGCCAGCCTTTCAAGAAACACACAATAACTGTAAATCAAGTAAAGTGTACTTAATCACTGTGGAAATTCCAGTACTCCTTGTTTTTATGATAGAAGCATTTCATGATGTCATTTTTCAAAATTAAAGTTAAAATAGCAGCTTTTACTTAGTAATATTTTGAATTATTTTTTCTTTAATTGTCAAGACCTAAAAATAGAGTTGGAATTCATGTGCTTCCTGTACTATAAAAGTAACTTCAGATTTTTCTTTTTAGAATACTACTTTACAAAGGAATTTTCTAAGTGTCATTAACATTTGGAAATTCGTAGGGAGGGAGAGTGCAGTAGGAAAGGAAACTGGTAAGGGAGCCATCTAGAGATGGTGTTCTTGGGGGGGAGTTGTACTGTTTTCATATAAATTTGTCACATGTTGAGTTTGTAGTTGTGTGTTCTTTGACTTTGGGAGAGATATACACAGTTACTTTGGGGATACTTCTAGAAAACATGTAAATAATAAAAACTGGCATTATCAAGACATGTTTATATGGCAATGAGCTAATGACTTTACCTGCATACTAAGTTTATTAAGTGTTTTTTTTTTTTTAGAATTACAAACTTTCTTGTTTTTTGCCTTAGTTGATTATACCCAAGAGAGTAGAGAATATGTCAATTATTTGGAGTTCGGGAGGGGTATTTTTAACCATAAAACATAAATGTATAGGTCTGTTATAGATTCCTTTGTCTTTCAATATGAATTGATCTTTGTATTCAATATGAATTGGTCCCCAAAAGATAGCTTTTTTGGGGGATAAATTACTAGTTACTATAGCTAATGTTTTGGAATTTCCTATATTGGTTTTAGATATTTCCTGTGTTGAGGGGGCAGTAATTTATAAGAAAGGTGGAGTCCATTTTATAAATATGTTAAGGATGAGGGGAGAAGTACAATTAAGAGAGCAATTAAGGGAGATTGCATTGAATCTGGGTTCTACTGATTATAACTTTGTACAAGTTACTTTTCTGTGCCTCAGTGTTTTTCTTTTTTAAGACAAAAATAATGATAGAAATGGTCTTAATAGGATTTATTATAAGATTAGATTTGTCGTGAGGATTGATGATACATAAGACTTACTTAGAACAGTATCTGGCACACAGTAAGCACATCAGTGAACCTTTGCATGCCAGATTTGCAAGTCCTTGTTAATCTTGTGTATCTAGTTGTTTTAGGTACAGGTTGAGTTTTTGAGGTACAGTCAGTTGAAAATGATTTCTAAACGTCTGAATAATGGACCTTCTTGGCACTTCTACTTTATTTAGGGGACTTTTCTGAGCACTTTATAATAAAGATTTTATAACACTATTTAGCCAGTTAAATTTTATGATAGTACATTATTAGAAATGAGGTGTTAGGAAACTGAAACCTCTGAATTAAGAAAATGTTTTTTAAATTTGTGTGCAAGGTTACTTTTGAAAACAGGAAAAATCACTTTCATTCTTGTGGCTTACATATAAATTTTTAAATTGCTGTTTACTTTTGCTTATGTTACTTATGATTACATACAAACATATTAGACTGAGGATTTAAAGCAGTAAGATATGGGGAAAATATTTCAAGTTTCATTATTGGTACTATATGACATTTAACCGTTTATTTACTCAAAAATCTAACTTACCATTATAGTTTGAAAACGCGGAAGTATTTTTATTTCTGTGTCCGTGACCATTTCTCCCATCAAGGGGAAGATTTTTTTTAATTGTGATAAAAAAACATAACTTATACTTGCCCTCTTAACAGTTTTTAAGTGTTCAGTACAGTATTTTTAACTATTTGCTCATTGTTGTACAGTGGATCTCTAGAATTTTTTCATGTAGCATGACTGAAGCTATACCACATCCATTGAACAATAGCTCCTCATTTACCCCTCCCCTCACCCACTGCAAGCCACCATTCTGTTTTTTTGTTACTTTCAGTTCAGTTACTTTATATAACTCACATGAGTGGAATCATGCAGTATTTGTCTTTTTGTGCCTGACTTATTTCACTTAGCATAATGTCCATAAGGTTCATCCATGTTGTAACAGATGCCAGAATTTTCTTCTTTTTGAGGATGAGTAGTGTTCCATTGTACGTATACACCACATTCACCTGTCAGTGGACATTTAGGTTGTTCCCACATCTTGGCTATTGTGAACAATGCTGCAGTGAACATGAGTGTGTGCAAAAAGCTCTTCAATATCCTGGTTTTTTTGTTTTGTTTTTTTTTTTGCTGTACGTGGGCCTCTCACTGTTGTGGCCTCTCCCGTTGCGGAGCACAGGCTCTGGACGCGCAGGCTCAGCGGCCATGGCTCACGGGCCCAGCCGCTCCGCGGCATGTGGGATCTTCCCGGACCGGGGCACGAACCCGTGTCCCCTGCATCGGCAGGCGGACTCTCAACCACTGCGCCACCAGGGAAGCCCCCAATATCCTGTTTTTAATGCTTTTGTATATATTCCCAGAACTAGGATTGCTCGATTATATGATAGTTCTGTGTTTAATTTTTTGAAGAAATGCTATACTATTGGATTGGCCAAAAAGTTCATTCTGGTTTTTCTGTACAATGTCACGGAAAAACCCAAACGAACTTTTTGGCCAACCCAATATAATATTTGCCATGCTGGCAGCACCATTTTACAATCCCATCAACAGTGTGCAAGGGTTCCAGTTTCTCCAGATCCTTGCCAACACTTGTTATTTTCTAATTTTTTGATAGTGGCCATACAGTGGGTTTGAGGTGATATTGTGTGAGTTTGATTTGCATTTCCCTGATGATTAGTGATGTTGAGCATTTTGTCATATGCTTATTAGTTATTTGTATATATTCTTTGGAGAAATGTCTATTCATGTCCTTTGTCCATTTTTTAATCAGGTTCTTTTTTTGTTTGTTTTGTTATTGAGTTGTAAGAGTTCTTTATTTATTCTGGATGTTAACCGCTTATCCAGTATATGGTTTGTAAATATTTTCTCCATTCCATAGATTGTCCTTCACTCTATTCATTGTTTCCTTTGCTACACAGAAGTTTTTAAGTTTGATATAGTCTCATTTGTCTATTTTTTCTTTTGTTCCCTGTGCTTTTGATGCCATATCCAAGAAATCACCATCTATTCCATTATTATGTTTTCTTCTAGGGTTTTTATAGTTTCAGGTCTTAATGTTTAGGTCTTTAACCCATTTTGAGTTAATTTTTGTATATTTCTTGTCTATTTTTTAAGCATTAGTGAAACAATGATTTAACTTTACTTGTCAACATTATTGCCTCTGTTTACAAAATGGGCTTAGAGCTTCTGTTTTAACATATATTCATTTCATTTCACGTCCATCCTTAAAGAAGCCTTCTGCAATTCCCATAACTAGAATTCAACGTTCCTGTGTGCATGCATGCACACACACCCACACACGCACGCACGCACGCACACAGTGGACTACTACTCAGTCATAGAAAAGAATGAAATAATGCCATTTGCAGCAACATGGATGGACCTAGAGATTATCATACTAAGTGAAGTAAATCAGAAAGGTTTATGATGCAGTGAAACATTTACAGAACAGAAACAGGCTCACAGACGTAGACAAATTTATGGTTACCGAAGGGTGAAGGGAATAGAGGAGGGATAAATTTGGAGTTTGGGATTAGCAGATACAAACTACTATATATAAAATAGATAAACAAAGGTCCTACTGTCTAGCCCAGGGAACAATATTCAATATTCTGTAATAAACCATAATGGAAAAGAATATGAAAAAGAATATATATATATTTCTATATCTGAATCACTTTGCTGTACACCAGAAGCTAACACAACATTGTAAGTCAACTTTGCTTCAATTAAAAAAAAAAAGTCCATTATATATCTGGTGTGTATAGGGGGGCGGGGTAGAGTAGAGGGACCATGAAGGGAGAGGTGAATCTTGGGAAATAAGGCTGGAAATAGTAGATTGGGTAAGAGAAGTCACTGAAGGCCTTAATGGGTTTGAACTTTATTCATAGACAGTGGGGAGTTTTTTAAGCTGAGAGTGAGGTAATGAGATTTGTTTAAAAAAGTTATTTTGGTATGAGAGATGCATTAGAGCTAGTAAGAGTAGAAGCAGGGAAACCTGTTAAGAAGCATTTTTAAAAACTGTCTAGGCAATTGAAAAGAATTGACCTTCAAGAGAATTTTAGAAAGAATTGATACCAATTGGCTCCACCCCTAAAAGCAGGACCTAAGGAGGAGTTGGAATTAACTGAGGTTTCATCCTGGGTGACTATGTGAATGGTGATTTCTTTGTTTTGTATTTCATTTTATTTTATTTATTTATTTTTTAACATCTTTATTGGAGTATAATTGCTTTACAATGGTGTGTTAGTTTCTGCTTTATAACAAAGTGAATCAGCTATATGTATACATATATCCCCATATTGAATGGTGATTTCTTAACACAGATGGAAGGGAACCGTGTTGCCCTTGGTTTTGGACAACAAATTTAATGTGTTGCCTTTTGGACATCTGTGTTGCTGCCCATTTTTTCTGTATGGGTCTGGCCCTCAGGCAAGGACAGAGACTTGAGCAGAGCTGTAGAGTCGAGAGTCAGACATGGTGACTGAAGCTATGGGAATAGATGAGCTCATGTGGGTAGATGAATCTAAATCAAAGAGAGCAAAATTTCCTCATTCCACCACAGCTGATCTTCTGAGTTATGAATATTGTGAGCCTGGCTTTTTCACCAGACCGAATTCTTCCTTATTTCAGGAATTCAAAAATAAAGAAACCAGGCTTTATTCTTTTTTCTTTCTGATTGAATAGTGAATTATATGTATATTATATGTTACTGTTGATTTTATTTGCATTTCTTTGTTTACTATTGATGCTATTTATAGTGGAATATATTGCCCACCACCTTAAGTTACTTCTCTGTAAATTGCTCGGTCGTAGTCATAATTCTATTATTTGTGAGTTATTTTCAATTGTTTATAATATTTTTTTTTAATGGTTTCTAAAAGAAAACTTTTCTACATCCTTCTACATTCACATACTCTTCTGTACTTTTACCACATTGTGTACAGTCAAGTTTAAACCACATTTCTACATATATGTTGTCTATATTATGACTGAGTGTTGAGAAACATGCATTTTCTTTTGGAGGAAAGAATTTGACATTTTGGAAATTACCAGTAAAGTAAAAATTGCATGTACCACTTTCCCATTCTTCTTGCCCTTCCCACCCCACATACTTAGCTAGTGATGTATTAAAATGTAAAAATTTGAATCAAGGTTTACTGGCTGAAGATACCAACTATCTTCAGAGGCTGAAAGGAGAGGGATCCTAGAGTCATTGGTTGGTAGCCTCTGTTGTTTTATTTTCTGACCTGCTGCACAAATAGCTCTTGAAGTGAAGATAAGCTAGTCCTTGGCAACTAATATTTTCTGGCCATGTATTTTATGCACTAACAGGTATTTATCTGCCTCATTCTTTTAGGCCCATGTGTTTCTCTAGTTTAAAAAGCATTTGCAAATGGAGATCTAGCTATACCCATGTAATCCCTAAATGTGTATTTACCTTATATGTGTATGTTTTCAATGTGTGTATGGAGGCTTTTTTTAATGCTCTATATGGAAGGGGAGTGTCATTGTCTAGTACACTGTTATATACCTCATGAAATAATTACACAGCCAGTTCTTAATTTTGAGGTTTTTCTTTTCAACAGGTTTTGCACTGATTGCAAAAATAAAGTCCTCCGAGCATACAATATCCTTATTGGTGAACTTGATTGCAGCAAAGAGAAGGGCTACTGTGCTGCACTTTATGAAGGCTTGCGGTGCTGTCCACATGAGAGACACATACATGTTTGCTGTGAGACAGACTTCATTGCACATCTTTTGGGTCGTGCTGAGCCAGAGTTCGCAGGAGGGTATGAGTATGTAATTTGCTAGAATGGGCTATCTAGCGCTTTGCTTCATTTTATCCTTCTGCCTCAGTACATATGATATATGTATAAATTAAAGTGTGCCTGTAAAGATTTTGCTTTCTTTAAAATATGCATTTAGTTGACTGACTAAAAAAAGGGAGAAAATGTCGATCAGTTGTCTGCTCCTTGTTGCTTGAAGTAGGCAGGCTTTTTTTGGCTTTCATTATTATAGCTTATCATTTTCATTTGAAAATGATTAGAAAGGATTTTTCCCCCCTCCATCCATGCGTTTCCATGTTTAAATTTTGTTTATAATGATGATTTTTGCATAGGAAGTGAGATCTTTGCAGCAGGGGGTTAATAAATACTTCATTGAATGTAATTCATGAACTGTGTATATTATTACTAAATTATATAGGAAGCTAAAATTTTATCTCTGGCTTTGTTGTAAAAAGGAAATCAAAAAAGTTATTCACAATAAATTGAACCCACCTCCCCTTGTGTTTTGTGTATCAACTCTCATTTGAGTGCCTACTTTCTGCTAGGCATTCAGAATACAAACACTTCTTTTATCACTGAAGTTCATGAACACTTCTACTGAAGACTGGCCTAGAGGACTTTTGCCCATGATTGAATCACTTTGGTGGTATTGTCTTTCTCCTCAAAAAAAAGAACAAAAACCAAACAGGCATTTGCTGTAATTGGAAGGTGAACTGTCATGCCTGCTTGAGCTGGACACTTAACATATGATGACTTCTCTGTGCTCCAGAAAACATCTCTTTAGGGCCAGTTCCTGAATTACCTTATGTTTAGCAGTATTAAGGCTGAGTTCTACCTGCATGTGTATTTCTCATTGGTTTTATACATGTGTGCTCGTGTATTTATATATACATTGAGTTTGAATGTATACTGTCTTGTTATTAGTTTGTTACTAGGCATGCAGACTGTGTTTAAAACCTGAACTTGCACAGGTGTTATCCATCTTTTACTGTTTCAGCTTAAGGGTATTAGGAAATATGTGTGATTTATTCTCCTTTATAGGAGAAGAGAAAGGCATGCTAAGACAATAGATATAGCTCAAGAAGAAGTTCTGACCTGCTTGGGAATTCATCTTTATGAAAGACTGCATCGAATCTGGCAAAAACTACGGGCAGAAGAGCAGACGTGGCAGATGCTTTTCTATCTTGGTGTTGATGCTTTACGCAAGAGTTTTGAGGTAAGAACAGTGGACTGCTTCAGTGTCCAGATTGCTTAGTTAAGTTATTGGACTGAATCTTAATGTTAATCACCACTCTTACCTTGCCTTAGCTGTGATCTACTGGTCATGGCTTTTGGGGGGTTAGGAGAGGAGTTTGCTGGGGAACTGAAATTTAGAAGTTGTTTATGGATTTTTTCTTTGTTTTAATCCCGTTCCTCTGCCAGCCTTGATTTTTAGACATTCTGAAAGTAGAAAACTGAAATTGATGATTATTTAATGAGAAGCTGCTATGAAACATAACTGTTGACAAGTTAAAAGCAACCCAAAAATAAGCATCAAAATTAGAAACATTTAATGAGTCCCAGTTTGCCTGCTTCTTTCCAATCATATGGAGTAAATGGTGTCTGAGTACCATGATATAAGAGCTACTTTTTAGAAGCACACTGAAGTCTCTTTATAATGCTGGTATTGGGTTTCATGCTTGTCATTTGGTAGCATTATTTTCAGTTATACTCTGTAGAACATAAAGTTTTGGCTAGTGAATATTTTGTTATATTCTAGGGCATGGTTGTAACTCTTTAGCTGGTCACCAGTCCTTTTTGAAAATGGAACGAAAGCTATAAACCCTTTTTCAAAAGCCCATGCATGAACTTTAAACACTGTTCTGGGGAGTCTGAGGAGGTTTATGCTAGTTTTTGCTGAACAGATTTCTTATTCCTTTTCTCTTTGAATGTTTGTGTCTTCAGAAACTAGATCATTTAATCAGGTTAGTCTTCTCATTGTATGAAGAAATAGATGAATATTTACTTTGCTGTGTTAAAATTCTGAAATTTGAAACTAGAATATTTCTGGTTTGAAATTGGAGTATGTGTAAGTCTACCTTTCCCGTAGGAATTAGTTGTATATTCATTTCCTGAGTAGATTTTAAGACTGTCATCATTTAAGGTATTTAAATTTAAAATTCTTTGTGGGGACTGCCTGACAAGACACAGCAAAGTAAATATTCATCCATTTCTTCATACAATGAGAAAACTAACCTGACAGAATTGCAGCATGAAATACCAGTTTCTATGTGTGTGATATCATTTAAAATTAACAAGTGAGAATTTCCATGGAAAATAAAGGGACGTTTGGGCCAGTATTCAGTCTCAGCTTTGCTTTATAATAGATGACTGTGGAAAAAGTACAGGGTATCAGTCGATTGGAACAACTTTGTGAAGAATTTTCAGAGGAGGAACGAGTAAGAGAACTCAAGCAAGAAAAGAAGCGCCAAAAACGGAAGAATAGACGAAAAAATAAATGTGTATGTGATATTCCTACTCCCTTACAAACAGCAGATGAAAAGGAAGTAAGCCAAGAGAAGGTAGTATTTCTTGATATTGACTCATAAATATATAGCTTTTTTCTAGATTTCAACACTTTTACTGTGCTTTCCCAGAATGTGGCTCCTTTGGCTTCTTTATTGGCTTTTTTTCTTACTCTAATCTGTATAAACCAAAATCTTTAATGTCGTGTGTTTGTTTTCTAGAGACAACGTTGGCTAGTTAACTTATTACATGACCTTAGTATTCTGCTAGAGCATAGTCCAAATGTGAAAAGTTAACTCCATGCAGGACCTAGAGCAGTTCTCAACTTTCAGTCTCAGGACGCCTTTGCATTTTTCTGTTTTGTTTTGTTTTTGTTTTTTTGGCCGTGCCACGCAGCATGCGGGATCCTAATTCCCCTACCAGGGATCGAACCCATGCCCCCTGCATTGGAAGTGTGGAGTCCCAATCACTGGACCGCCAGGGAATTCCCTTCTTTGCATTCTTAAAAATTAGGGAGCCCAGTGAGCTTTTGTTTATGTGGATTATACTTATCAGCATTTACTGTATTAGAAATTAAAATGGACAAATTTAAAGTTATTTATTATTCTTTTAAAAATAATAAGCCCACTATATGTTAAAATGAACATTTTTTTAAAAAATAACTAGAAAAAATGGAGAAGGGTGGCATTAATTTATATTTTTGTAAATCTCTTTAATATTTGGCTTAAAAGGAATCAGGTAAATTCTCATTCAGTCTGTTAGCATATGTTGCTTGGTTATAGCATGTGAAGAAAGTCTGACTTCACCCAGATATATATGGTAGGAAAAGGGAGGAGTGTTTTAATATAAACCTTTTCAGATAGTCGTGGATATTCTTCTTTGGCATTATAACTTGACAGGTGGTAGTTTCTTAAAGATTAGTTGCAATGAGGAACCTGACACCTTATCAGTGACCTTTTCATACTTTTAAATTAAAACCCATTGGTCTATCTTGGCACTTTGAATAGATTTTATTTATGCATGATTATGTAACGTCATGCATTGGTCATTTGAAAGATAATGGTTCACTGAGTTATGCAGATCTTTCCAGATATTGACATTCATTATATAATATCATATAATCATCTTAAAACCACTACTCATCTGATCAGAAAGGTCTTTTAAGTATTGGGAAGCTTCAAGCTCATTGTGCTTGTGTATGCAAGTTTTCAAAATTCTGATTGTAGTTTGAAAGTTTGAATTTTATTAATGACTGTCCATTTTTTTCCTTGAAGAGATAGGCTGATTTCATTCATTTTTGAGAAAATGTCTTTTAAATATCCAAGTCTGAATAACCATAATTTGTCTCATTCTTTCTTTCAAGTGAAATTGATGTTCCAGGAAAAAGCAGCTAGTTTAGCTTGCAACTTAAACAGTTGTGCAAGTACTTTTAGTTGAGACAACCATTATACATTGGTATGCATCAAAAGTGCTTTAAGCATTCTTCCCATTTATCACAGAGTAATAAAGAGACCTCTACGCCATGAGTTCGTATTTAATAAAATTCGCATTTTTACTGCTTCATCAAAGACATTGATAAGTGAAATATCGTTTTATCTATTTATTTCCTGATGAGAGTGCTTGACAAGTGAAGAATACGGTGACTGTTAGTACATACTTGGTTGCCTCTGCCTTTGTTTGTGCTAAAGAAACTTTTCCCACCATTGCTTTTATATTATCAGTGTAAGTGTCAAGACAATGAAAAAGGCAAATCACATCTCAGTGTTAATGATGAAAATGGTTTTGACCTAGGGAACCCCTGGGGTCAGCAGACTGCACTTTGAGAATAGCTCTCCTAGACTTCCCTGATACCATTAAGTCTTAACTTACTTTTGTAGGTTCTTGGTCTTGAAATGAATTAGTGATTTTTCATGAGAATAATTTTTTTCAATTTTTAACCTTGTAACTCGTATCTTAGGTTAAGGAAATACAGCCATTATGGAGGTAAAGCTTTTTACTATCTCTTAATATTGATCCTTAAAGGAAACAGACTTCATAGAAAACAGCTGCAAAGCCTGTGGCAGCACTGAAGATGGTAATAGTTGTGTAGAAGTAATTGTTACCAATGAAAATACATCATGTACCTGTCCTAGCAGTGGCAATCTTTTGGGGTCTCCTAAAATAAAGAAAGGTAAGTAAATAGTTTTAAAAAATTAACTATTTTTTTTTTAAATATAAGAGCTTTTAGAGATCCTGTAACCTAGAATTTAGGAACTGCTTTACAGCCCTAAGAATATCATAAAATTTAGTCAGACACTTAGTATTTCCTTTTTCTTTATGGTGTTTGATTTGTTAAATAATAACAAAATCAAAAATTGTAAAGCTCCAATCATATTTTCATTATTTAATGCACTTTTTACTTTCAGTAAGCCATCAATTTTGAAATTTTTCTGTGGTCCCCACTTGTTTCATTCTTTGTCATAATATATTTATTGGCATGTTAATTGTAACTCTCACTTGATTTATTCTCAGGCTTATCGCCACACTGTAATGGTAGTGATTGTGGATATTCATCTAGCATGGAAGGGAGTGAAACTGGTTCTCGGGAGGGTTCGGACGTTGCTTGCACTGAAGGCATTTGTAATCATGACGAACACGGTAGGTTCAGATTAAGCTTCCCAGTTATTTCTGCTACATGGCTGATTTAAACACCCAAATAAGAGATTATTGATTTCTGCAGGTGATGACTCCTGTGTTCATCACTGTGAAGATAAAGAGGATGATGGCGATAGTTGTGTTGAATGTTGGGCAAATTCTGAAGAGAACACCACCAAAGGAAAAAATAAAAAGAAGAAAAAGAAAAGCAAGATGTTGAAATGTGATGAACATGTAAGTGTCATAACTTGGAATCCTTAAACCTTTGTTCTTTTCCTTGGAGTGGCAAGTGTGCAGCTTAGCTGCTAGGATTTTTTTTTTTTTTTTTTTTAAGAATGAGTACCTATGCAGTTCCATTGGTTGCTCATCTTGTGAATTTATATGCATGTGTGTATCTGATGTGGTCATTTGTCCAACAGTCGATGTGAGTCATAAATCCAATTCATTCTTTCCATAATAGGTTTTAATCTTTTAGCTCTGTAATCTTTTTTTTTTAAATAGATTTATTTTTATTTTTGGCTGCATTAGCTCTTCGTTGCTGTGTGCGGGCTTTCTCTAGTTGCGGTGAGCGGGGGCTACTCTTTGTTGCACTGCGCGGGCTTCTCATTGTGGTGGCTTCTCTTTGTTGCTGACCACGGGGTCTGCGTGCGTGGGCTTCAGTAGCTGTGGTTCACGGGCTCTAGAGCGCAGGCTCAGTAGTTGTGGCACACGGTCTTAGTTGCCCCATGGCATGTGGGATCTTCCCGGACCAGGGCTCAAACCCGTGTCCCTGCACTGGCAGGCGGATTCTTAACCACTGCGCCATCAGGGAAGCCCCTTAGCTCTGTAATCTTGAGCAGTTTGCTTGATCTGTTTTCCCATCTGTGAAATGTAGATAATAGTCCCTGTCAGATTAGGCTCTGCGAAGATGAAATGAAATTATATTGGTGGGTTAGCATAGTGTTTGGTGTGCAGTAAATGCCTAGTAACTGCCAGCTGTTGCTGTTATTCAGTATTCCTGCTAAAATCTTAACACTCTCAGGGTATTTTTTTTCTTTAAAAAATAGTAATTGCTATTATTCCCTGCCTTTTTACCTGAGAAGTCCTTTTGCTGTGGTTTCAGATCCAAAAGCTTGGAAGCTGTATTACAGATCCAGGTAATCGAGAGGCCTCAGGAAATACCGTGCACACAGTGTTTCACCGTGACAAGACCAAAGAAACACATCCTGAAAGCTGTTGCACCTCTGAAAAGGGTGGGCAGCCACTGCCTTGGTTTGAGCATAGGAAAAATGTACCACAGTTTGCAGAACATACAGAAACGTCGTTTGGTCCTGATTCCGGAAAAGGTGCCAAGAGCTTAGTTGAACTCCTTGTAAGTAAGCCATGATTATCTTTTTGTGGATAACTGATTGTTCACGGGGTAGATGTGGGAGGGAACATAATTGAGGGTTTAACGTTGGGAATGGGAGGAGGCTTTTAAGCAGTTAAGGGCAGTATTTCATTATTTTTTGGTGACTTCATTCCTGTTCTTCCACTTAACTACTCTGGAGCACATTTCCTCGTCTTCCTTTGTCTCAAAGGTAGAAAAGATTACTTGGGAGACGGGGATAGAGTTAGCATTATGTCCAGGAATCTGACTCCTTGACGAGGGTTATTATAAGCAAACTGCCTTTCTGAGTGGCAATTTATGGTAGCTACCCTTCCAGACCACGAAAGAATATAGAATCTGAACTAGAGCCCACTTTCTAGGTTACTTCCTTTAGGTGTCATGTAGGATAAAAGCATATAACTGAACCTGGAAAATTGTTTATTACTGACTCCAATTCTTGATACTTTAGATGAATTATACCTGATTGCAAGTGACCCAGTGCGTAGTTTGTGTGGGACTTGGAGGAGGGGCAAAGAAGGAGAAGGGTGGTATCTTTTCTGTAGTCATTATGGGATCCCAGGGGAACCAAATCCTTCAGAATATTAGGTTTTTTCTTTTTTATATGGTTGTAAAGTTTAATGGTGATGCTATGTATTTCATAAGTTTAAAAAAGGTTATATTTTACTTAATGTGTAGAGATAAAAGTTTCAACATAGAACCAGCCAGAGATAAGCCAGGTTATTTAAAGTTTGGTAGCTATTTGTAACCATCCCTAATCACTTTTGAAGGCTGAAGTGTGTTGGGAGTCTGCTTGTAGGCTTCTAGGACAAATTACAGATCCAGAGTTTTAAACCAAGTTGAGTTGCCTTTTATTCTTACTTAGTACTTTCTAAGACAGAATGACATTATGCTTATCCTGTAAACATTCCAATTAAACTAAAGGTTAGACTGCTTTAAGTTTTCTCTGTCCTCCATCACCATAGCATTTTGCATTCTTAAGTCATAGTCTTAACTACTGCTTTAATTTGCAGGATGAGTCTGAATGTACTTCAGATGAGGAAATCTTTATCTCACAAGATGAAATACAGTCATTTATGGCTAATAACCAGTCTTTCTACAGCAATAGAGAACAATACCGACAGCATCTGAAGGAGAAATTTAATAAATACTGCCGCTTAAATGATCACAAGAGCCCCATTTGTAGTGGCTGGTTGACAACGGCTGGAGCAAATTAAATAAATAAAATAGCTCTGTCTTTCAATGAAACACTCAAGATGACTACTGCGCCTTCTCTTTCAAAAAAAACTCTTAGTGACTTATGGCAAAATTTTATCTTAAATCAATGTGATTCTTTCTTGTTTTGGGAGACGGTGGAGGTAACCTCCTTAGTTTGTTCTTTCTTCAGGCTTGTGTCTTTAGTTGTGTGGCTGCGCAGGCCTGCCGTATGATTTAAGCCATCCCTTTTCATTAAATGTTTCTCTTCCTGTGAGACTTACTAAAAAGCAACTTAGTGGCAAAAAGTAATGTTGTACTTATACTTCTGTACAGAAATGACAATGAGCTGAATATATGGTTTTACAAAGTAGACATCCACTTGCGAAATGTTTCGATGTAATGTTAAAGCGCAATGTGCAAAATTTAAAATAAAGAATATTTATTAATACGCATAGTAAAATTTGGTGTACATGTTTCTGCTTAATGTGTGGCAGTATTTTAATTTGCCACCTGTGGTCTTGGTACTTGGCCAGTGTTGATGTTAGAGAGGATGAGGAGCAAATGAGGAGAGAGATACAGATTGCTGAAGACAAATTCTTCCCTTCATCAGAGTTGACGACCGAGAAAAGCAGTTTCCAGGCTTCTGTTTTGAAAGAATAAGTTTGCTGCGATACCTTTAAATACTGGCTAGCATCTTACTTCCTCATGAGACTTTTAATTGCTGTTATTAATAAAGTTCCCTGATACATAACACAAAGCACCTTAAATTCAGAGGTTCATATTGAACTAGAAGAATGAGAACAAAACTTGGCAGAATTTCACCCAAAGGTTTGCTGATAAGTAATTACTCAGCATGTAGAGCTCTGAGAGCAGAAGGCTGCACTGAAGGCTAACCACACTGTAGTCTGTATAAGTGCCTGTTCCTTATCTGGTTTCCAGCAATAAGGTCACTATGGCATTACAGTTTACTGCTTTCACAAGCTGTCTGTGAGTACTGAAGAAGGAGAGATTCCCCTAGGAGTAGCATTTGGCTGCCATTTAAAAGGTTGAGTCAATAATTCAGTAAACTCATGTGCTTAGAGTTTTGTGTCTACAGGTTGATACTTGGTGGGCAGCAGACAAATAGTGGGACGGTCAATACCTCTGTGCGGTGGGGATGGAGTGAATTTTATAGGCTTTCTACCACTTAATCAGACTACTAATCAGATTTCAAATGGGCAACAGCAGAAGCTTAGATTTAACTTTTGTAGTTGGTGGCATTTTTTTGATCCACCCCTGAGTTGTCTTTTCAAATCAAAGTGTTGTATAGGGATTGGGGCAGAGATAAAGTGAGTCATTCCTTTCTGACTCTTGTTTGCTTTCATCCTGGAATCCATAAAAAATGACTAAGGGTCTCCCACAGCCCTTGGCTCTGAGCCCAAACCCCTCTCCACCACCTGTCGCAGTCAGGTTCTCTTGAGATCCCTAAATTAAGCAAGAGCTGGTTTTATTTTAAACATCTTTGCCTCTGGGGCCAAACACAGGAGTGCTTGTTGAATGAATAAACCAGCCACATTCACTGCTTATTCCATTGCTTGCAGTAGCAGGATTCCAGTAGTTATGCAGAGATGTTTTCTCTTTGGAAGGATGGCTATATAAAGAATGCGGAAGTGAGGCAGTTTTCATGCTTTGATAGAATATCCTTAGTGGTCAGAAAAGTGAGTTCTACTTTGGACAGAACCAACAACCTAAGAAGAGACAGAGTGGAGTGAAGGCAGTTTAGGAGCACATCCCCTGGCCTAATACTGGACTGCTTGCCATCCAAGCCAGGCTTCACATTTGTCTCAGTATAGTCTATAAAATGAAAGTGTTAATAGGTACTATCTCATATGGCTCTTGGGCATATTAATATATTTAAAGTGCTTATAAAAGTGCCTGTCACACAGTAAGCGCTCAATAAATGTTAGCTAGTGCTTTAATCTCTTACATACACCGTGATACACTTGATCCAATGGGAGTGGGAAGGCTTAGGAAAGTTGTAGACTGCAGGTCATTAGGGAAACAACCCCCCCAATACACGTGTACTTGGGGGTCTTTGCATTTTTAACCATCAGTTCTCCTTGGTTAGTAAGGCCAAGGCGTCAGGTAGGGTTGAAAGCCCCTCCCATGGTCACCCAGCGTTGATAGCTGAGACACTCAGCCCTTTCTGAGCTGAATCCTTCCCATCGGCCACCGGCTGGTTTAGGAAGGCGTTGGAGTCACCTTAAGTGCCCTTAATTTCTCTTCCTGGCCCTTAGGGGTCAGGAACAGGGAAGGCAGACCGAGCAGGAGGCAGGAGTACGTGCGTTCTCGGGCCTGGTGCAAGCCCCCGCGAAACTTCGTTTTCCTCCCCGGAGAGTAGGAGCTCACCAGGAAAGCAGGACTGCGAGCCCCCAGCACCCTCCGGCCCAGTCCCGCGAAGAGCGTTTTCCTTCCAGCGCAGACTGGGCGGGGCCGGAGGGGGCGGGACCGTGCCCTCAATGCACGCGCAGGGGGCGGGGTGGCCAGGCCGCTGTTGGTCCTCCGGCGGGATGTGGCCATTTGCGGAGCAGCGGAGGGTGGAGCCGGGGGCGGAGGCAGGCCAGAGTGGAGGCAGGTCCAGGCGCAGCTCTGACTGGGGCAGGTTGGCGGCGGTTGCCGCGGTGGTGACAAGAGAGTGGCCTGGTCCCTACGACCCGGGGCGGAGCTCTGCGATCCAAGTGCTCGGCTCCCCAAGCGAGGTGGGCGGGCGGCTCGGGACCCTGGCCAGGGCCGGCATGGAGCGGTGGCGTGACCGGCTGGCACTGGTGACGGGAGCCTCGGGGGGCGTCGGCGCGGCCGTGGCCCGAGCTCTGGTCCAGCAGGGACTGAAGGTGGTGGGTTGTGCCCGCACCGTGAGCAACATAGAGGTAAGGCCCTGCTGGGGAAGGGTCGCTCTGGGTGGCGTCGTTTCTGCCGCGCTAGGGTCCAGGTGGGGGATCGGGAGTGGTCGGAGCCAAGCTGTCACGCTGCCCTCACTTGCCCGCCACCCCAGGGTCACTTGCAGCAGGCTCAGGGGCAAGAGAGATGGATGCCTAGGTGGAGGGGAACTAGGTGCTTTTGGACCCCTCAGGGCAGGACTCCACCTTCGCTTTTCAAAGTCCAGTCTTTTAAGGAGCCTTTTCTCCTGACAGCCTCTACTCCAGTATACCAAATCTCTGACTCACTGGCATCTTCCTCCTCCTCTCTGACCGGCATGCCCGGGTTGGCTGAGGAAGGGAGAAGCCAGAGATCAGGGGCTAAGCCAGGGAGAAGGAAAGAAAGCTTTCCCGCCTCAGTGGCTAAGTTGGCTACTGGATTGCTTCCTCTGGTCCCCAGACCTAGCCCACAAAACCAAGCAAAGTGAGCATGTGTTGATCATGATCATTTTCACCCAGGACTGCGAGTGGGGTTGGGGTGGGAGTGGAACTTTTCTGAAGAGGTTCAGCTCCATCTTCCCCCGAAATGTGAGGGTTAGCTCCTACCCGATGGACATAAGGGACAAATGGGACATATAGGTAGACCTTTCTTCAATCTCACTGTCCCAGGTGGGACTGACTAGGTGAAATGGGGCATTGAACATGTGAGCCCTGGGGGACAAAGCACTGTGGAACTGAACCTCCTGGTTTTTCTCTTCACATGGGTTGGGAACCCCAAGACTTGTGAGCGATAAGAGCTCAGAGGAAACTGAAATGAAGTTGGCTGTGTTGGAGCAGGGAGGAAGAATACAAGAAATTTCCATCATAGGATCACTTTGGATTTGCCCCTGGCAAGACCCCTCTCAGGGACTGGGCTAGTGCTTAGCTTTCTCTCCACCCTTGCTCAAAGTCCCTGGGCTGGGAGAGGGTGAGGAGGCCTTGGGTGGGGGCAGAGCGGGAAGGTGTACCGGAAGGAGGACGGTCCCCCGCCCCGTGCTGCTGCTGACCAAAGGTGCACTTGATAGCCTCCTAGATAGTCCCAAGGTCACCTGGCTATACTGTTGCCCCACTCTGCCCCTCCCTTACTCCTTTCCTGAGGCGCTCAGGGCCCTGCCCGCACTTTAGAGCCTAGAGGATCAGACCAGGGATTAGACCACTTGATTCCCTAATTCTAAAGCCACTCTTGCCTTCTCTTCCTACCACCTCCCGACCCCAAACCAGCCAGGAAAGGGGTCCCTGAGCCCAAAGGAGATCCCCAGGCTGATCACTCAGCCCCAGGGTATCTCCTTTAATGAGGGAAGAACAGTTCTGCTGTGACGGGACTGACATGATTTCAGGTCACTTTTGAGGATAGATGAGGACAGGTAGGCCACAGAAGGCAGTGACAGGGAGTCCCTCCATTCTGGCTTCCTGCAGGGCTTTGAGTCTGGAGGAGGAAGGGAGAAGTTGAATGCCAGGGGAGGGGAGAATTCCAGGCTTCTTTGTCCACAGTCTGCTTTTATGGATTGGTTGATTCACTCATTCATTGATACTAAAACAAAATTTGAGTTCTGGCCTCCTACAACGAGAAGCCCTATTTCCTGAGGTGGTCGTGAGTAGGTGAAATCAGGTGAAAGGGGACTTCTGGGTCCCTGAGGACTGTACCTCTTAAGCTCTTGGCAAGTTAAAGCAGAAAAGAATTTCCTAGGTCACCTGACCCAGCCCTTTACTCTCAGCTTGGTCTGGGGGAAGGAAGGTGTTCCAGGGCAGCTGGCCAAGCCGGCCTTCCTCTAGGGCACCCTGCACCCGCCAACCCTCTCCCTCCCACACATGTACGTAGTCACCTTCACGAGGCTCAGGTGCCCGGTCACTGGCCTCCAAGGCTACCACATAGCTTGTTTTCTTCCTGATTCTGAATGGCAGCTTCCCTCATAGCCATCTCTCAATGGCTCGTCTTTCTCAGATCTTTCTCTCTCAGGGATCCTCAGTGTCTTGAGGACCCTGGCAATGCACAGGGGTACCCAATGTCACCTGCCACCTGGCTTGGCTCATGGTATCCAGAGAAACTTTGGGGTGGAGGGTGGTGCACCGTGGGTCAGAGAGAAAGAATCCGTCCTGACTTCCTGACCCTTTTTATAGACGGAGTGAGGGGAGACTGGCAGTTGGGCTCAACTGAAAAGTACGTGTGAGGACTCTGAGCCAACTGGCTGCAGTTTGTGGAGGGAGGGCGATAGTTTAGATATAAGCCCTTCTGGGAGGGACTGGATGGAGTGATGAGAGAGAAGAGAATCGAGGCCCTGGTGTAACCAGCTCAGTGACTCTTGGCACTGGCAGAAGCAGCAGGGGGTTGGGGGAGGCTTGCATCTCCCCTACGAGCGGAGGTGTGTTCCTATTGGGAGAGAGTCAGAAAAGAGATATCACTCCATTCCCAGAATCCCTGGGCCCCTTCCCTGACACGCTCACTGCCTCGGCCCTTCTCCCCTTTTAGACCTGAAGACTCGAGTTTATCCCTCAGGTTCCTCCATGGATGATCTCAGCCTCCCCTCCTCCCTCAGGGAGTGCTCTCACCGCCCCCCCACCCCGGGACTTTGACCACAGAGGACACGCTTTGGGGATGGGCAGTCCCAACATCTCTGTGGCTGCAAGTTGGCCGCCAAAGGCGAGAGTTCTGTGAGCAGTGACACCAGTGGGAGGTTATCTCTGGGTGGGGAGGCGTGGAGTGAGCGGCTCACCTCAGTTAGACCCCTGTTGGGTTTCATAGGAGCTGGCTGCTGAATGTAAGAGTGCAGGCTACCCCGGGACTTTGATGCCCTACAGATGTGACCTGTCAAATGAGGAGGACATCCTCTCTATGTTCTCGGCGGTCCGCTCTCAGCACAGTGGTGTGGACATCTGTATCAACAACGCTGGCTTGGCCCGGCCTGACACCCTGCTCTCAGGCAGCACCAGCGGTTGGAAGGACATGTTCAATGTAAGGGCTGCAGGCCTGTGGCTGGGGGTGACAGGGATGGGGGAGAGGCTGGGAGAAGAGCGGGGAGCCAGGAGCCAGGGGGCTGCTGGGGACAGACATCTACTGAGAGGGGCCTTCAGTTTCCTACCTGGGGCACTCCCCCCTGCTTCTCCCCTGAAGGAGAGAGAGTGGATGAATGGCCGTATCTTTTTCATTCTTCTTTCCTTTGAGCCCCTGGGGGGCAGTTCTTAAAGTCTAGGCTGATTTCTTTCTATTGGAAGAGATAGGGATAGGGGAGAGAACGGCTGGTTGAACGTCCCCGGGTGTCAGCACTGTGCTGAGTGCTTGGGACCATGGTCTTATGGGAAGAAAAGGGACCGAGAGACAGGAGATGAAGAAGATGATGATCTCACTCAGCCCCGCCAGTAACTATGTGGCTTCAGGCAGGTAGTTACACTGTCTGAGCTTCAGTCTTGTCACATTTAATTGGGATGAAACGCACCTAGACCATCAATATCTGGGGTCACAAACTCCAGTGTCCCCTGGGGCTGGGTAGGTACGTAAAGGAGGGAGGCGGGTCATGTGGGAAAGCACATGGACGTCTGGGGGTGGCTGTGCTGCAGTCTGGGCAGTGCGGGCAGATCCTATGACTTCTCTGAGAGCAGAGAGGACCTAGATTTTCATGTGGAACCTCACCCCTCCCATTCACCGAAACCTCAGCTCCAGGAGGGCAAGGAGTTTTGTCTATTTTACTCTCTGTCATAGCCTCAGCCTGCAAACACTCCACAGATAATTTTTGAATATATGAAACCTTCCAATACATATTGGAAATGAATTTTAAAATGTTTCAAAACCATGTGTGGACCAAACACAGCCTTCAGGACATGGGTTTTCAACTTCTAGACTGTATTGTGAGGCAATATTGGGGTATGAAAATATTCTGAGAAGTTGAAAGCATTGTGTAAATGGGATGCTTCTTTCCCCTCACAGTCCTTTTCACATGTGCTTACAATAGATTTAGCACCTAACAGGTGCTTGGGCCCAGAAATATGCAATGGAAGTTGAAACAATAAACGGGAGGTGAAGCACTGCCTTTGCCCTCAGAGAGCCTTCTGGGAGATCCGAGTTGTGGTAGTCACCTGCAGTAAGGGAGTCTTTAAACCTGGGCCTCAGCTTACCCATCTGTAAAGTGAGGCACATATATTAAATCCCTGAGACCCCTTTCAGCTTGAACACTATGTAATTCTCTTAGGATCGTCTTATGAGGCATCTCCCAATAGAACCACATCATTGAACACACAGGGAACCCCTGACCCCCGTACCTAGGAGAATCCACTCCACTGGCCCAAGGGGATCTGTTTCTCTTACTCCATCCATCCGTCCTCAGGAGCTCAGTTCTCTGCCCCAGAAACCCACATTGTTAAGAGGACCAGAAGCAGGGCTGGAAACCTCTTATGTCCTGCCGTGAATGCTGGGGCAGGTTTACACCGAAGTATTTGTCCTGATGCCTGGCTCTGACACCCGATAAAGAGAAACGTCTAATCTCCCGGCTGGTCTCCTCTCTTCCCAAGAGGAGAGAGCGGAAGACCTGCTGAAAGCTTTATCACCGCTTGTCCTCGTGGGTGAGGCTAAAGGGGTGGGGCTGGGTGGGAGCTTTAGAGCAGCGACACTTCCTCAGGCCTCTGCTCCAGGAAGGGCGGGGATCTGGGGTCACCTCTGCCAGAGGAGCAGGAGTGGGAGGGGGCCAAGGAAGGCAGGAAGCCCCCATGCCCTTGGGACGTCCCTTGCCATCCTGTGACAAGTTACCCCACGCTCTGAAGAGTCTCTGTGCCTAGTCTTACAGATGGAACAGAGGTTAAAGGAAGGTGTGGAATGAAGGAGGATCAGGCCTTCTCTCCACTGTAGTCTCAAGGGAGGGACAGGAAAGGCACAGAGACTAGTGGGTAAGGTGGGGAGAGGCTAAGATCTGTCCTGAGGAGAGAGATTTTTAAAGTCTTTTTTGGATGGATTTTAGGCTGTTTAGGAGAGAGGTGAGCCAGTGAAGAGTAGGGCATTTGGAGAAGAAAGGAGATGATTCCCTAAGGTAGAGGTCCTGCTGTTTGCACAGGAGATGGCCAAGACAGGGAGGGTTCCTGGGTTGTGGGTGTGTTTGGGGGGCATCATCCAGGGAGAGGTGCTTCCTCTGCTGTCAGCTGGGGCTGGTGGCTTGAGGGGGAGGAACCTAAAGCCAGGTGCCCTGTCCCCTTCATGGTCTCTGGTAGGATCTGGACTCTGTTTTGGATGCCACCCGCCCCCCCGCAACCGCAGGGTGCTCCGTGGCTCCATTACCTGCTCAGATGGGTCCAAGCCGGAGACACCCCATTGTCCCTCTGGCCTGCAGGTGAACGTGCTGGCCCTCAGCATCTGCACCCGGGAAGCCTACCAGTCCATGAGGGAGCGGAAGGTAGATGACGGGCACATCATTAACATCAACAGGTGAGGCCAGTGGCCGAGGGCTAGAGTTCAGATCACCACGCACCCTCCAAGCTGGGTGATCTGCTGCGGCTCATTTGACCTCTTTGGACCTCAGTTTCCTGGGTGGTAAAACAGGGATTTAACACCCAGTTAATACCCAAATGGCACGACTGTGGTGAGGGGAAGAATAGTATGTGTCAAATGCCAGCCCCTAGTTGGCTGGAAGGGGTAGCTCAGCCCCTTTGCAGCTGAAGCCTGGGGGCTCTCCTGGGACTGAGGTTCTCCATTCCTCAGGCCGCAGCATGAACCTCACCTCGTGGCACAAAGACTGCACAGTCTCTGTCACTGGGGAGTCCCCGGAGACGTGGCCTCTGTCCCACGGATCTCCCAATAGAACCACATCAGCGAACACACAGATGAAATCGAGAGAGTTCTGACAACCTGCGTGGACTGGAGACTGAATGCTGTGGTCGGCGTAGGGAGGACTTCTAGGAAGAGTGGGGCTCACAGGAGCTGCTTGAATTCCAGAAGCTGGGCCAGTGGCCCTGAGGCTGGCCTCTGGAGGTCCCGTTTAGAAGGCGTCCAGGGGGCGGGCTTGGCTGGTACAGCAGCGGGCACTGCTTCACTCTCTCCTTTCCCCTTCCCTCCTTCCACCCAGCATGTCTGGCCACCAAGTGCCACCCCAGTCCGTGGCGCATTTCTACAGTGCTACCAAGTACGCTGTCACTGCGCTGACAGAGGGGCTGAGGCAAGAGCTTCGGGAGGCCCAGACCCACATCCGAGCCACGGTGAGGGGTGGCCTGGCCCTGGTGGGGGTTGGGAGGCACAGGCCCGCTCACCCCACACACTCGCGGCCCGGGGGCCCATGTCCCGGCTGTGCTGCTTAGAGCTCCTGGGTCTGTACTGGGCCCACATCTACTGGGCTCTGCTGCTACCTGCATGGCCCTGCTCAGTACCTGAGTTCCTGCATTTCTCGGACTTTGAGGTGGGAGGCAGGTGACCTGAAGGGAACATGGTGGGGTGAGACTGAGGGAAAGCAAGGGATTGTGGGAAACCACGGCTGGAAAGTGGGACTCTGGGCTCTTCCCTTGAAGGCTGTATGACCTTGGGTGACTTGCTCAACCTCCCCAAACCTCAGTCTTCTCATCTGTAAAATGGAGATGATAATACCTCTCAGGTTATGAGGTTTTAAGGGACACCACTTTGTAAAACTGACCTGGCTTATAGTAATGGCTCTGTAGCTGGTAGGAATCATTCTGGTAATCCCCAGTGGCAGCTTTGGGGGGAGGAGGTGGCTGCTGGACATCGGGCAGCCCTCACTGTGAAGCTGGGGCCCTTTGGCTTCCATCCTTTCTCTGCAACCTCCCCAAGGCCTGGGGCTCAGCTCCTGAGCAGGCTGTCTCTGTTGGCCCAGTGCATCTCTCCAGGAGTGGTGGAGACACAATTCGCCTTCAAACTCCATGACAAGGACCCTGAGAAGGCAGCTGCCACCTATGAACACATGAAGGTGGGGCCCAGTGAAGCCATTCACTTCCTAAATGAAGGCAGAGGGAACCCTGGCCTTTAGACCTCGCCCTTCTAGCCAGCCTGTCGCCCCTCCTGCAGGGTGGGGGTGGGAATGGCGGTGCTGGAGAGGACCTCAGTGGTGGGAGGGGACTTGGATCCATCCTGCCCTCATCTCACCCCTTTCCCCTGGTGCTCTCAGTGTCTCAAACCTGAGGATGTGGCCAAGGCTGTCATCTATGTCCTCAGCACCCCGCCACACGTCCAGGTGAGTCTGGCCTTGGATGTCCATCCCCTGGAGGAGCCCAACCGCCCCCAGAGGAGAAGAGCAGAGGGGCTTTAAGGGGGTGGGGAGAGGGTCCTGGCTGCCTCAAGCCTTGTGCCTTCCACAGATCGGAGACATCCAGATGAGGCCCACGGAGCAGGTGACCTAGTTTCCTGTGGGGAGCTCCTCCTTCCCTCCCTGCCCCTCAAGGCTTGGCACCTGCCTCTGGATTTGGGGTGTTGGTTCCTGGACCCTTGGATTCCACTTCCTTTCTCCACCCCCAGCAGGGGCTAGAAAACTTGTTTGCGGTTTCATATAATCTTGTCAAATTGTTTCCACCGAATTTGAAAAATGGGCAGGAGAGGAGGTGGTGTCCCTGATTGTTCTCCCTGCTGATTCATTCGTGGGCTCCTTCTTGGGCTCCTTGGCCTTTGTTTGCTGTCCTTGGTCTCTTCCCTTTGACCTGGGAAAGGGGCTGTGGCCAAAAGTGGGGCTTTCCCCTATCTTCTTGCACCCCACCCCTGTCCCTTCAGGATGAGGCGGCAGAGGGAAGCCCTCACCTTCCATCTGAATGGCTTTTGGGGCTCTGGGCTTCCTCCTTTCCCTGCATCCCACCCCCCACCGCATCTCTTCCCCATCCCAGTTCTCCAGCCCCACTGTGGCTTCTCAGCCCCCGTTGGGGTCCTCACTCCACTCTGGCAGCAGAGTACCAGGGCCTGCCTCCCATGTGGGTTTCACTGTGATCATTAAAAAAGAAAAACTACGACAACCTACCTTGGCTTCAGAAGTGTCTTTCAGGTCTTCCCCCTTGCTGTGATCAGGAATGGTTGTGTCTCAGAGTTTCTTCCAGGAGAGTGGGAAGGTGGATGGATTGGGGGCATCTCTCCTGGAGTGTGGATTACCTTTGAGCTGGGTCTTGAAAATGGGTAGGAGTTTGCCTGCCAGAAAAGACAACAGGGCTTGCAAGGCGGGGAGGCCCAGAAGAGCATGCAGTGTTGTAGGAACAGCACAGAACTTAGTGCAGGAGTGAGGTGGGGCTGAAAAGGTAGCTCCTTGCCTGGATCCCTCGGAGGTCTGAGTGCTGAGCAAGGAGTCTGGCCATTACCTGTGGGCCAAGGGCATCGGTTGGTTTGTCAGCAGGTGCAGGTCAGGCACAGAGCTGTCACTTAGAGAATCAGCACCATGGCACAGGAAGTTATTGGTGGGGTCCCGCTGACTGGTGCCGATGGTTTGACAGGCAATAGAGGTGTAGAGGAGGGGCTGGATGTGGGAGAATCTTCTGAGGAAAGTCACCAGCGCCCGGTGGAGAATGGAATGTGGGGAGGGAGTCACCACGACTAACCAGGTTGAATAGGAAAGCCAATACATCCCCTTAAAGTGTCCTTTGCTGGTACCAGGGTAAATGAGGTCCTCCAGCCTCCTGGGACCTTGAAGGGTGCAGAACGCAGCCCACGGTAGGGTCAGCTCAGCGGCGAGCACCCCTCGGGCCAGTGACTGGGCGGTGGAGGTCGTCGCTCAGCCGGCCCTGCAGGGGGCGCTGTGGGCATGCGCCGTGCGGCTCCAGGCCGGGGGCGGGGCCGTCCGAACGCGGAAGCGGAGTGGCTCACGTGGGGGCCGGGAGGGGCCAGTCTAGGTTCCGCGGCCGGGTTCTGGCCAGCACACGACTGGGAATCCTGGCCTTTCCTGTATCTGAGGGGGTGGGCCGGTAGCAGCCTTCGGGTCCCTTTCATCTGCTTTCGGGGCCTGGGAGCGGGCCCCGGCGGGGTTGACCACTCCTGAGGACGCAGCTGGGGCATCGACCATGGCACTGCTCTCGGCCGTCGGGGGCGCGACCTGGCATTGCTGCGGTCGCCTCCTCACGCGTCCTTTCTCCCAAGCGTCAGGGCGTGGGGAGCGGCCCGGCGGGGAGGAGCTAAGCCGTCTGCTCCTGGATGACCTGGCGCCGACTCCGCGGCCGGCCGGGGGGCTGGAGCTTCTGTTTGGCCTGTCCCCGTGTCTCCTGGCTCTGCGGGCCGCCCGCCGCCGCGTAGCCCGGCTCCTGCTCCAGGCCGGTAGGTCCAGGCTGCAGGGGGAGCGGGCCGAGCTGCTGCGCGCGGCTGAGGCGCGGGACATCCCGGTTCTGCGGCCCAGTCGGCGGAAGCTGGACGTCATCTGCCGCTACCAGGTCCACCAGGGCGTCTGCATGGAAGTGAGCCCGCTGCGGCCCCGGCCCTGGGCCGAGGCCGGGGAGGCTCGGCCAGGAGACGACCCCCAGCAGCTGTGGCTCGTCCTCGAAGGGCTACAGGATCCCCGGAATCTTGGGGCCGTGCTGCGCTCCGCTCACTTTCTCGGAGTGGATAAAGTCATCACCAGCCGGAGAAACAGGCATGGCCTCCCCTTATTCCCCGTGTGCTCCAATTTGGAGGCGCAGCCGAGTTCCTAAGCACCTTGACCCTTGGGTGGTCCCTCAGCCAGCCCTCCCCAACGCCAAAATTCTCACCCCTAACTCTTGGGGGCTGGGGGGAGGGCACGGCACCGGGCTTGAGATCACCCAGCCTCATACGGTGGCATGGGAAAACCTTGCAGCTGCCCGCTCAGTCCTGTAGTCAGCAAGGCCAGCGCCGGGGCTATGGAGGTGATGGACGTGTTCTCCACTGATGACCTGGCCGGTTTTTTACAGGTAATGGCGCGGAGAAGGAGGGGAGGCGGGGTGTCAATAAAGAAGAAGAAATGAGCCAAGTTAAGTCTCTCCAAGGGCCCCCAGCTAGCAGCTGATGGACGAAAGGGAGAGAAGGGGGCGTGTTGGTATCGCTTCCTACATCCTTCTAAATCCCTTCAGGAAGAGAAAGACCCGGAGTTTTAAAAACCACACATGGTGGGACTTTCCTGGCCGTCCAGTGGTTAAGACTCCGCGCTTCAAATTCAGGGGGGACGGGTTCCATCCGCGGTCGGGGACTAAGATCCCACACGCTCCGCGGCGCGGCCAAAAAAAAGGAAAGCACACACGCACGGAGCAGAATCTGATGTTAGGGACTTTTACTGCACTCCCTTACGAGGTGTACGTCTTTGCGCCTCCTGCGGGTTTACGCAGTGCCTCACTGCCCAGTAAGCAGGTATTCAGTAAATGCTCAGCTGTGAAGAGGGGGAGCGGGCCGAGCTGCTGCGCGCGGCTGAGGCGCGGGACATCCCGGTTCTGCGGCCCAGTCGGCGGAAGCTGGACGTCATCTGCCGCTACCAGGTCCACCAGGGCGTCTGCATGGAAGTGAGCCCGCTGCGGCCCCGGCCCTGGGCCGAGGCCGGGGAGGCTCGGCCAGGAGACGACCCCCAGCAGCTGTGGCTCGTCCTCGAAGGGCTACAGGATCCCCGGAATCTTGGGGCCGTGCTGCGCTCCGCTCACTTTCTCGGAGTGGATAAAGTCATCACCAGCCGGAGAAACAGGCATGGCCTCCCCTTATTCCCCGTGTGCTCCAATTTGGAGGCGCAGCCGAGTTCCTAAGCACCTTGACCCTTGGGTGGTCCCTCAGCCAGCCCTCCCCAACGCCAAAATTCTCACCCCTAACTCTTGGGGGCTGGGGGGAGGGCACGGCACCGGGCTTGAGATCACCCAGCCTCATACGGTGGCATGGGAAAACCTTGCAGCTGCCCGCTCAGTCCTGTAGTCAGCAAGGCCAGCGCCGGGGCTATGGAGGTGATGGACGTGTTCTCCACTGATGACCTGGCCGGTTTTTTACAGGTAATGGCGCGGAGAAGGAGGGGAGGCGGGGTGTCAATAAAGAAGAAGAAATGAGCCAAGTTAAGTCTCTCCAAGGGCCCCCAGCTAGCAGCTGATGGACGAAAGGGAGAGAAGGGGGCGTGTTGGTATCGCTTCCTACATCCTTCTAAATCCCTTCAGGAAGAGAAAGACCCGGAGTTTTAAAAACCACACATGGTGGGACTTTCCTGGCCGTCCAGTGGTTAAGACTCCGCGCTTCAAATTCAGGGGGGACGGGTTCCATCCGCGGTCGGGGACTAAGATCCCACACGCTCCGCGGCGCGGCCAAAAAAAAGGAAAGCACACACGCACGGAGCAGAATCTGATGTTAGGGACTTTTACTGCACTCCCTTACGAGGTATACGTCTTTGCGCCTCCTGCGGGTTTACGCAGTGCCTCACTGCCCAGTAAGCAGGTATTCAGTAAATGCTCAGCTGTGAAGAACAGGTGGCTCCTGGTTCCTCCAGGAGGGGCGCGGCTTGAAAGGGCAACCTGAACAGGGACTAGTCTATGCCTTTCCCCTCGTCCCTCCCACAAGCGAAGAAACAAAGCAACAAAAGAAACCCTCAAAACCACCACCACCACCAAAAAAACCACTTCGATATCTAAGAAGGAAGGGGCAAACCTAAGTATTAATAAAACCCCTCTCCTGGTCTATACACATTTTTCTTCATCTGTGCTTCCCTTGCTGGACACAAGGGGGCAGTACTGCCTTGTATTTAGCAGCTTCCCTGACCATCCTCTCCCAGGGCTCCCGAGTCACAGTCCTTGGATCTCTTTTCTGTATATATTCATTTCTTGTTGGCCGCATCCAATCTGATGGCTTTAAATGCCATCTATATTCGAATGCCTCCAAAACTTGTATCCCTCCTGGATCTTGCTCCTGAACATCAGATTTACATATGTAGTTGCCTGCTCAACAGCTCTTTTTTTCTGTCTTATGGTCATTTCAAACAAGATTTCCAAATGTTGTTCCTGTTCCTTTTGCAGACTTACCCAGCTCAATTGATGGCAACTCCTCCATGCCTTCAGTTGTTTAGGCCCTGAAACCTTGGCACCCTCCTTGATTCTTCCTACTGTCACTCACCATGTCCCACCTGTTGGCATATCCTTTTGTTTTTACCTTGATGTTATTTCCACATTCTCACCATTTCCACTGTGTACCACTCTGGTCCAAGCCACCATCATCTCTAGCCTGTATCATTGCAGAAACCTAACTGGTCTGCTTGTTTCTGCTAGTGGCTCTCAACATAGGCAGAGTGATTCTGTAGAGACGTAAGTCAGACCATGTTACTAGTTCTCTGCTCAAAAACCTTTCAAAGCCTTTACATCTCTCAGAGTAAAAGCCAAAGGCCTTCCAGTGGCTTTTGAGGTCCTACCTCAGGTGGCCCTTTGTTTCCTCTCCTGTCTCAGTGGCTCCCTTTCCACTGGCCACCTTGTTCGGCTGTTCCTCATGCATGCCAGGTAAGCACCCGCCTCTGGGCCTTTGCACTTACTGATCTCTGCCTAGAATATTCCTCCCCCAGATGTGTACGTGGTGCTCCCTCACCTCCTTCAGGTCTGCATTCAAATGTCACTTCAGTGAGGCCTTCCCTGACCACCCTTCTACGAGGCTGGGATTTGGGCCTGTTTTGTTCATTGCCTTAGGCGAGTGCCTAGAATAGAACCTGCCCGTTCTAGGTGCTTAATAACTATTGACTGAATCTGGTGGCTCAACGAGGGAATGAATATAAGGGCAAGGCCGGGGCTCTGATGAAGGTGTGGTGAGCTAGAGCATGATTCTTCTTCCCTGTTTCAGGCCAAAGCCCGGCAGGGCTGGCTCGTGGCTGGCACGGTGGGCTGCCCGGGGCTTGAGATCTCCCTGTCTTCTGAGATCCCCATCACTAATTGCTTGGAGTTCCTCTGGGACCGGCCTACTCTTCTAGTGCTGGGTAGGTGGATGCCCCTGCTTTTCTGTGCTCAGACATGCATTTTCTGAGTGCCTGTGTGAACAGCTGGGGCCTCCCTAACCCTCTGGCCCCCATACCCTGCAGGGAACGAGGGCTCTGGTCTGTCCCGGGAGGTGCAGGCCTCCTGCCAGCTTCTCCTTAGCATCCAGCCCGGCCGGCAGCTGCCTCCTGGACTCGAATCCTTAAATGTCTCCGTGGCTGCAGGTGAGTCTCCACTCCCCTTACTTCTCTCCCTTTAATCACACATGTACAGCTGGTTCATCCTAAACAAGTTTCTCGTCTTTCTGTGTCTCTGTTGCTTTATGTGCCAAATGAGGACAATACCTACATCCTCTTGAGGATGAGGTGAGGGAGTGCCTGGCACATGATCCCTCCTCTTCCCCATCCTTGTCCTTCTGTCTGTGCAGGGATTCTTCTTCACTCCATTTGCAGCCAGAGGTCGGGTTTCCTGGTGGAAGGGAAGAGAGAGCAACCTCTTCAAGACCCCCAAGATTCCTCGGCCTCGTCTGAAGTGCCCAGAGTGGCTCAGCACCCAGGACTGTCCTCGGGATGAGAAGAGGAGAGGCAAGATGGGGGCTGACCTGGACTGTCCGAGGTGTGTGTGTGCTGTGGGGGCACACGCATCCATACGCTTGCATGTGCCGGGGTCTCTTGACTTCTTGCCTGAGTATGTGTACCCAGGCCCATGTTTATAAACCGCTGTCCCGGGGCTGGGAGCTTTGTGGTGGAGACCGGAGGAAGTTCACTTTCCCGTCTTGGCTTTGGACTTGGAATTGGAGATGGCAGCTTGTTAATTTCCAGGCTGTGCTGGGACAGAGGGTCTCTTTCTTTCCAGGCCCTGCCTGGAAGTCAAGGGAAGTTCAGATATCAGAAGGGAATCAAGCGGCCCAGTCCAGGGGTCCTCTTCCTCTTGGACCAGCGTGAGAATGTAGAGGGAAGCCCGGGGCTCTCTTGTGGGCCAGACAGGTGCAAATCCAGGCTCAAACCCTGCCCTACTGGGGCCTTGCGCACGTGCCTTCATCTTTTTGTGTCTCAGGGCCCTTGTCTCCACCTCTGTCACAGGGCTGTTGTGAGAATCCAATAAAACATCACCTGGTATCCAGCAGGCCCTCAACCAGTGAGCCATTATATCTCATTTCTCCTTTAGGTGGCAGCCTCGCTCTTTGGTCAGTAGTCTTCGGGCCGCTTTCACAGCCACCTCGGGAGATTCCTGGCTGTGGCCCTCCCCCCGCCCCCACCCCCAGAGGCAGGGGAACGATTAGCAAATACTTCCCACCCTACTGGCCCACCAGTAACCCCCATGGGTGAGCCATCAGTCAGTCTGCCTCTGTGGAGGGACCCGCTGAACCAGAGCCTTGGCCTTTGATTCTGGGAGGTGGTGAGGACCTCGCAGCATTGCTGTTTATTGTACAATCCAGACAACTTTGGTACTCCTCCCCCAGGGTCCCACAAGTGGATCAGAGGCCACTAGGATAAGTAACTTAGAGCAGTGTTGGCTGCACGTTGGAACCACCCGGCAAACTTTAAAAAACAAGTGACACTGGGGACCCACACCTCCCAGCCTGATGTAATTGGTCAGTGTGCAACATGAACATCTGAATTTTTAAAGCTTCCCAGATGGGTTTCATGTGCAGCCCAGACTGGGAACCACTAGTTTGCTCAGCCTCAGCAATACTGACGTTCTGGGCTGGTAACTGTTGTGAAGGCCTGTCCTGTGCATTGTAGGACGTTTAGCAGCATCTCTGGCCTCTGCCCAGAGGCCCAGGTGCTGGTAGCACCCTTCTCCCCCTAGTTGTGACAACCAAAAATGTCTCCAGACACTGCCACATGTCCCCTGGGGAACAGAATCGCTCCTAGTTGAGAACCAGTGCTCTGGAGCATGGATCTGGAGGACAGCAGCCCTAGGTGCGGATCCCCATGCTGTGTAACCTTGGCCGTTTCCTTAACCACCTGCGCCTCAGCCCCCTTCTCGGTCCAAGGGGGATAATCATACCTTCTTGGGTGGCCGGGAGGATATAGAGGGTGATAGGAGCTCAGTGCCTTACATATCATAGGTGCTTGGTAAGTAGTACTGCCCTTTTCTCTGTGGAATGGATTTATCTTGTAATTCTAATGGTGATGCCGTAATTACCTGCCAGGTACACACAGGTGTGTAGTTATGTCATGCAAACCAGGCACTCCCAAGACGAAGAAAATGCACCTGAGGCCCTAAGGCCAAGGATAAGGCCTGTTTCTCTTTGCACGTGGCCTCTGGTGCTGGCTTCATAGAGGCTGCTCAGCTCAGCAAGCGCGGTTAAAAGCCCAGGAGCTGGGGTGGCTGTGGCCATGGGTATGAAGGGCGGCAGGGATGGGATGCAGCCAGAGGAGAGCACAGTGGTGGCTGAGAACATGACCTTGGCTGTTCAGCAGTGTTTGCTTTGAGTTCCAAGTCTGACACTTGCTAGTGGTGTAAATGTGGACATGTCCTTTAACATTTCCAAGCCTTGGTTTTCCTCATCTGTAAATGGGGACAGTAGTGTCCACCTTGGAGGATTGTGGTATGAATCATTATGAGATTGTGCACATAAAGCCCTCAGCCTCATGCCCTCAGACTTCAAGGTGTTCTCACAGCGCCTGGGGGCCAACCTAGAGGTCAGGGCACTGGGCTCTGCCCTCCTACCAACCTGGCCTCAGTTTCCCCATAGGCTCTAGGGCCCCTTTCAGCTGCAATACACAATGGTTTACGGCCAAGAACAGAGGGAGTTGGGGGAGGGGCGGGGGTTGAAATGACATTTGCAGGACCCTCCTTTGTCAGGGTCCCCCAGCCAAGAGGGGACAGGTCTCAGAAGGTTGGTGTTCCCAGAGCAGCTCAGTTGTGACCAGCACCCCTGCCCCCCTCCAGGGCTGGCATCTTTTTCTTATTTTGGCAGGAGGTTAAATTGCCAGTACCGTCCCCCAGGCTGGGGTCCTAAACTCGACCCCCCTCCCCCCTCCTGCAGGGCCAGGCGCCAGGGAGCCCCACAGTTTGTAAATGTAATCAACCTTGGGGGGGGGGGGTCTCTGGCTTCCACAGGTGCAGTTAGCATGCCCATCTGCTAATCCCTGATTAATGATGTTTACAAACATGGGACTCCACTCTCAGAGCTGCTCGGCCCCTCCCTCCTGGGTCAGGAGGCAGGGGTCTTCCTAGCACCCCCAGCCCACTGCTTCAGGCCTCCCCAGCCAACACCCCTCTCCATCCCCTTCCCCAGGCAGTGAGCAGAGCTGGAGGTCCTTCCTCAGAGCCCCCTGGCCCAACTCTTACTGCACACAGATGGAAAGGAGACCCAGCGAGAGCACCCCTTCCAGGACACACGGTGTTGCCTTTACTCACCAGGCCGGCTCTAGCTCCGGGGCCACACACACATACCTCCCTTCGTGGAGGTGTGGGCCGGTCCCCAGTGCCCCAAGGATTGGGCTTCCCAGCCTCTCCCCAGACACCCCTCCCACCTTCCGGCTGAGGACTGTGTGGGCCTGGTCAGAGGCC